TATAATTTTGCGCGAACTAAAATTGCAATAAGACGATTAGCAGGAAGTGAAAAAGTCAATTAATCAGTTTAGCAAGCAGTGCCCCGCATGTTTCAAAAACAGTGGAATACACGAGGTTTTAACATACTAAAGATAAGGTTCCTTTGAAACAAGAAAATTTTGCGGGCAAAATTGGTACATTTTGGTAGATGAAAAAAAAATCATTTGAAAAAAATTTTCAGAAGGTTCAAAGCTTTGTTGCGGGAAAGATGAGTAACACAGATTATGCAGTTCTACAAATGTTCAGTTTCGTAATTCATCCACCTGTCCTTTGGCTCAAAAAATAAAAAAAATAGGAAAAATCTGTAAAACTCCTATACGTCGCACTACTCGAAGCTTCTGCGCAGCATTTCTAAATGTCAGGTTAAAAATCGTAATATTCAATTCTCTTAACAAGTACGCCATACAGCGTGAGTATGCCTGTGAAAAAGGCACCTCATGATTGTCATAAAGGAGTACAACGTGAACATGAAACACATATATTGAGAGTACAAAGCAGATAAAACAGCTGAAGATATATAGATCTCCTCTCCCTCTCTCCTCCAATTAATCAATCCTCACTGGTAAGGTTGGTGTAGAAATAGAAATAATTTGGACTAGGAATTGCCAAAGACGTTCATTTAAATATTTGGTTGCAAGACCCACACATGCTGGAGTCAAATGTAACTAGAACATCAAACGTTCGCTTTAACTTTTTTTTTAAAAGTTTATTATTTTTCTTTTCAAAAGTTGTGCTGTTACCGGAGCCTTTTGCTTTGTGGAAACCGATAATAGATGCAAAAGTAGGCATTCATTTCAATTGAAAATGAATTTCATGCTAAACAAATGCTTCTTTTAAATATTTGCTGGGGTTAAATAAAACATACATCTATCTAAACAGCAGTTTAAAACTAGAAAAAATATGTCATTAAAAATCAAGACCTTTTAAAAAAGCGATCGTGTTCACCTACTAACAGTCAATTAAATAATAGGTCTTTAAAAGGAAACATTTTTGTTGTACATTAACTGCAGCCTTCCATACGCTTTAAACTGCTGTTAACAAATTTTACTCTTCAATTACTGTATATTTCAGTTAAAATTTGGATCTGATTATTGTTCGAACTTCTAGCTGTGACAGCACAACAGTTAACAAACAGTTATCTTTATTCTGTAAAGTAAATTTTACTCTCTTTTGCCGCATTTGTAAAATTAAATAAATAAATAAAAGATATTCTCTTTCGCAGGAAAGTTTTTCGGACACGTATTGTAAGTCTCGAAAGAATCTCCAAATTATTTTAGTATCAGCTTTTACCCTAATATCAAATTTCAGGCTGTACCATAATGTCAGACTTTAGAACCACTTATAACATAATCACCAGTCTGCCAGAAAGGTACACCCATTTAACTGTAAACCGCTCTATAAATTATGTAAATCTCAGTTCTGGACTTTGCACAAACATTACCCGTTCATCCCACCAAAAGTTTAGATATCAACATGAGAAAAGTCACGTAAAAAGGGAAATTTATCAG